CCAGATCTTCAATGGCACCTTTGTTAAACTCAACAAGGCCTCAATTAACATGCTGAGAATTGTGGAGCCATATATTGCATGGGGGTACCCGAACCTGAAGTCAGTAAAGGAACTGATCTACAAACTTGGTTATGGCAATATCAATAAGAAGCGAATTGCTTTGACAGATAACTCTTTGATTGCGCGATCTCTTGGTAAATTCGGCATCATATGCATGGAGGATCTAATTGCTGGATCTACTGTTGGAAAACGCTTTAAAGAAGCAAATAACTTCCTCTGGCCCTTCAGATTATCTTCTCCATGGGGTGGAATGAAGAAAAAGACCACCCATTTTGTAGAGGGTGGAGATGCTGGCAACAGGGAAGACCAGATCAACAGACTTATTAGAAGGATAAACTAAGGTATCCACCATGATTGTTTTTGTAATCTGGTCAGTAAATAAACAGTGGCTGTTTTCAGACTGCAATATATTGTTGTATTAGTAACTTTTTTGGTAACTTGTCTCTGCCTTGCCTTAACTATTGTGGCACATCTTGGTGCTTGGTAAAATTAAGCCAAAACTTCTGTAAGACTAGCGTCCATTTTATTATTTTGTGAAAATTGCTTAGGGACTACACCAGAAAGGCCTGATGTTTCCCCTTTTGAATTTTGCTGAGTAAAAATGGGTTTATTCAACGAAAACTTATTTCAGGGCATTCATGCATGATTTGTAGGTAAGGTAATAAAATAAAGATCAGTTCACCAAAAAAAAAAACCACACTGGGCACGTGTGCACATCTGCCCAAAGTCCTGAAAGGGGAGAAGGGCTGGCACCCTGACCACCACCCGATGGGGGAGCTCTCTCACTTTCCCTCTCTGTCTTCTGCGAGCTCACAGGTCCTCTGACACATTAAAACAAAAAACCAAGTACTGATGACATGCAAACTGCATGTGTCTGTGTATGAAATAAAGAAACACTTAAATACAGCACCAGGGCCAGCAGGTGGCGTGGTAGTTCAGGTGCTAGATCTCCCATGATCAACTCTGCAGTTCAAGTCCCAGACCCAGAAGCCCAAAAAGTACTGTGGGCACATGTGTGCATGCCTGAAATCCTGAGAGGAGAGAGAGGAAAAGGGACTTGCGGGGCTATCCCTCTCGGGTGGAATGCTCACTTTCCCACACTCTGTCTCTCTGTCTGGGGAGTGCACATAACCTGTGACCAAAAAGACTAAAAAGGAAAGAAGATACCAAATCAGGGAGTGATGCCTCACGGGCACAGGTAGGTCTCGGACGACCACGGAAGACAAAGGCTCTTCAGAGAGGGCCCAGCAGAAGCCCAAGATATGCTGCCCACGTTACGTGTAATGACAAAAGTGAGCCTCGGGGGCGCCTGCTAGTAACCCTGGTGCCACTGAGGGCCACGTAGCTATCACCTGGCCTCTGTGAGGACAGCCCCCGGATCGCCTCGAAGCCGGTGTAAACAGTGAGCGGGGACCCACAGGTGGCACAATGGCTACGTCCCTGGACTCCCACTCCGTCAACCATGGTTTGAGTCCTGGACTCGGCGGCCTATAACTCACACTGGGCGCATGCGCGTGTGTGCCCAAGATTCCAGGAGGAGAATGAAGGGCTGAGGTGTGTCCATCGTCTGGGAGGGTGGTTTCTCACTTTCTCTTATTTTCTCTCTGTCTCTCTGACGAGCACACACGCCCTAAATGGAGGAGTCTGACCCGGTGAGGCCCCAGGATCTGTCTGAGCCCCCCGACCTTTGAGCTCTACTTCCGGTCGGATTAACATGATGGCAAGACCACTGTTGTGCGCCCCCCGACCTTGGAACAAAGCTTGGGTCAATTAGCATGTCAGCAAGGCTGTTTGCTATTTGCTCCAGAAACTGTGGCAGCCTTACTGGGAAGCGACCCCCCTCTG